AAGAAGAAGAAGAAGAAGAAGAAGAAGAAGAAGAAGAAGAAGAAGAAGAAGAAAGGAAGAAAAAGGAAGGAAGAAAGAAAGAAAAGGGAGGAAGAAAAATAAAAAAGGAAGGAGGAAGGGAGAGAGGAAAGGAAGAAAAGAAAAAGGAGGAAGAAAGAAAGAAAAGGGAGGAAGAAAGGAAGAAAAAGGAAGGAGGAAGGGAGAAAGAAAAGGAAAGAAAAAGGAAGAAAGAAAAAAAAGGAAGGAGGAAAGAAGAAAAAGGGAGGGAAGGAAGGAAGAAGGAAGGAAGGAAGAAAAAGAGAAAAAGAAAGAAAGAGAAAACACAGGATGGGAGATTTGTTGGTAAGAAAGCAGTGTGTTGAATCAGTGTGTATGATGTGTGTCCCTTCCTGGCTTTGTTCCATCATCACAGAAAGCCAGAATGTTTGTATATACCCCAAGCGAGAGCAATTATTTTTGGAATGAGCTAATTAGAAGGGAGCTATTTCCATTAGTACATATTGTTTTGAGAACCTTTGATTTTAATACCTATTTTAAAGTTCAGCGTGTTTTTGGGCTATTGGGATTTTCAGAGGACGTTGTGGGTGTTGTCATTTAGGCGGCGACTAGATTCCGCGCGGCTCATTTACAAGAAAAACAATTGCAGAGACCTTGGTTTTTATTTTTAATGAAGTTTTTATTTTTATTTGGCTGGGGCACACATGCTGCTCCAGCTGAAAATGATTCTGAATGACGCACAGTCCAGAAAATAGTAACGGGATTAAAACATCATCCTTGGAATCATAACAAAGACAAGTGTACCACAATACAGGTAGTCCTGGACTGACAACCACAACGGGGAGCAGGATTTCTGCTGCTGAGCAAGACGGCTGTTAAGTGAAACAGGCCTGATTGTTTGGACTTTTGATGCTATGCAAACTAAAGAACATCATCAATGTTTACTAGGAGTGGTGATGTTATACTAGGTTGGGTCATGACACCCCTGCAAGAAAACTACCAACCTCACAGAGAGCAGCAAGGACCCCCCAGTGCTCTCCTCCTCCTCCCCCTCCCTCCCTCCCTCCCTCCACAAATCCCACTCCCTTCTAGCACTGATGATGTTACCTAGTTGGGTTATGAAACGTCTGCAAGAAAATGACCAAACTCAGAGAGAGCCAAGGAACCCACAGTCCTCCTCCTCCTCCTCCTCC